TGGACTCTAACTCTAAAAAAAATAAAATAAAACGGCCTACCATCAACGCCCCTCAGGGTTCGTGTCAGGCTTCTCCAACTCGTAGAACAAAAGGTAAACCTCCCTCTGCATGCCCAGCACGTCCGAAGTCTTACATTCCTTGATCTTCTCGTCGGAGATGCGCCACCAGCGATCGTTCGGTTTGCGACGGCGCCGAAGCCGTGAACTGACTCCCCGTGGGGGTATCCTGGGAAACACTGGGTTTGCTGGGGGAGGGGCGCGGCGACGGACTCCAGCGACCCTGGTCCGTCGTCGGGCTATTGCTATCCGAGGCAGGTGACAACGTCTGTTTGGAGGAACGGGATGTGTTGCTCTGGAAAGAGCGACGTGAGCCAGAGGTTGTAGGCCGTGGTTGAGGAGGGGTGAGTTGGGTCGCTGAAGCTGAGGTCGAGGCTCCAGATAGCGAGGTCGACGAGCCTGCTCTCGAAATGCTTCCATCGTCGACATCGGGGCTGCTGCGTGGTACAATCCGAGGACTGGGCGCCGCAGAGGCGTTCTGACTGGCAGTGCGACTCTGCGCATAGGAGCTGAAGGCCTCGGGTGTCGAGAACGGCGGGTAGATATGATTTCGTCGGAAGGACTCGTAGTGTCCGCTATGGTGACTACCTTTGTGGCAGACAATTGCAAGCAATTTGTACCACTTCTGGCTCAAGATGCTGCCCAAGGGAAGCCGCTCCGGGAACGAGACCTTGGCCGCGTTCTTGCTCGAGCTGCTCTGATCAAAAATCGACCGCGACAAGTGGATGGCAATGACCTTGGGGAATGCCGTGATGCGCATATGCCGCGCAATCCTGCGCTTGGGGGCGGTCTCTGGCGGAGGAAATACGATACCCTCCAGCTCGGCCTCAGGGTCTGTCTCCAGAGCCTTGCGAAGGCGGGAAATCTCCTTATCCAACCGGTCTCGGTCACCTTGTGTTCGGGCCCGGGCTAGCTCGGTAGTCTTGACATCCACCGCATGCTGCAGGCGGCATCGGTCGCAGCGGAAATCCTCGATATATTCAGTCTTGAGGAGGCCGTCAAAGCACGAATTGAGCGTAGTCGAGCTCTTCTGCGGCACCTGTAGTGTCAAGTTGACGAACGCCGTCTGGTTTGGCTTGTACTGGTAATGGCAGAACTGGCACTCGATCTGCGACTCCATTTTGCCTTCGAACGGGAACCCAGACTCCTTGTCGATTTCCTTGAGTTTCGTGTCGATGATGGCAGGCAGTCCATTGGCCGATCCGTCATCGATGCGCACCTCCACCTCGGACGAACTTTCTTGTGTGCTGGCCTCTTCGCCTGCCGGGCTGGAAGCAGCTGCATCAATTGCATCCAGTGCTCGTTGACGTGCGCGCGCACCAGCATGGTACTCATCGCAGAGTCGCTCTAGAACAATCTGCAAGAATTCCTGCGCGTCCTGCTGATTGCGACTGATGCGCGTGCGGAACGCGTATTCCAGAGCCTGGATGAAGTCACGGGCCGAGATTGTCTTCTTATAGATCGGCCGCTCGTTCAATCGGTCCAGCATCTCCTTCAATGCCCGTGTGGTTATCCCCTGTTGCAACTCCCGCAACTTGTCCGACCGCGCCGGCGAAAGTTCATCCTCGCTCGGCAGTGTATGGTATATTTCCGGTCCGTCCAGCTGGCGTCGGTGCAGCTCGTGGATCAGGTAGACCCGCAGATCTCCCAACCCGGCTAAAGCCTGCAGCACCGAATTGATAAAGCAGTCATTGGCTAGGTTGGACAGGCCCACGATGCTCTTCTTGCGATTGCTGTCGTTTGACTCATCTCCGTCGATTGTGTAGTTCGGCCCGAAGACGTAGAACAGAGCAACGGCAGCGAGCGAGGCCCCGGCCGCATAGGCGGCGACCGTTGTCGGCTTTTCTTGCATCAAGCAGTGTGGTATAGAGGCAGGGAGGTTCGGCGGTTCGGGTCGAAGCAGGCAGACTTATATCTCATTGCCCCATTCTCGGATTGGCCCGGATGTAGGTAAGGGCGTTGAATCTCCTAAAATAAATCACAGGAGAAGTCCAATGTGGGGTACAAGGGTGAAGAGATCAATTTTGCAAGAATCGAATAAGTTTGGGGAAGACGGGAAGGCGAGAGTGGAGCGTCATGCGGAGAGAGAAACAATGATCATTTTCATCCGAAGCCCGAAATCAGGTTACAATCAAACGGGGCAAAACTCCACTCCAAGATGAAGGCACATTCCTCTTCGTGTAAGACTTGTATCCAATGGGGCCCTCTTCGCTCAGGCACCGTTGTAGCGGGTTAGCCACGGATTCTCCGGATGTCCGTCTTACACATCCCCGCATATTTGGAAGGTTGACCGCGGTTACATGTATTCTGGGGTAAAGTGAGCCTGGGCATTGCATGGAGTTTTGGAATGTGTAAGAGTATCTATCTTTCGAAATACGGGCTCAGGCCTCTCAAAAGCAATATAAACTTTCCAAAGTCATCTCCGCCACCATGTATGTACAGCGATTTGGTTGGAAATGATTGGCATGATTGGCCAAAAATACTACTTCAAACAGCCCTATAGCTTGCGACACTGATACCGCAGAGCTTCTACAGCCGTTCTAGAAGGAAACAAGGAACGATCAATAATATCTTCAGCATCGGTCATATGTCTGAACTTGCAACTTTTGTAGCATTCCTTATCTGGAAATATTTCTATCAAATGCACCCAATCATGTAAATTTCTCCCCCACATAGACGCCTACCAGCGCAATAGGCTCACACCTAAAGCGACTTAGGCAGGGTAGCAACCTTCTCATCGAAGAGCTGCTCGGCCTGCTTCCAGACCCGAGAGTTGGCCCGGTCATTAAGCGTGAGAAGGCTAGGCAAGAGAGCCTCGCTGAACATCTCAGAGCTCTCACGGGGGAGGAGAGACGGGAGGTGATCAATGCTGATCACGCTGAGAGGCAGGCCTCCAGCCTCTAGCCCGGAGACGGGAACTGTTGGCTTATCGAATGTGGTCGTAATGTCGTACAAAGGAATGGGGTTCAAGGGGTTGGAACTTTTGAGAATTAGCTGTGCGCTCGGTAGCATAGTTCAAATCCGATAAACTCACGTGTCGGCGCTGACGTCGCAGATAACGGACAGGGTTCGGTTGGGGGCAGACAAAGACTCCACGTTCACGAAGGCTAATGCAAAAATGGATATTAGCCAATTGAGCCGAGACGAGAAGCTATATGTATAAAATTACCTGGAATCTTGGCCGAGAGGTAGATGCAGTTCACGAAGATATCTGCTTCATGTGAAATTTCCTTGAAAGGACCACCTGCGGAAGTTAATTTATGAGCTTAAGATTAGATTGAAGAGGTTGGAGATGGTAATTGACTCACCTCGCGCAGTCTCTGCCATATCCCACTCAATGATGTTGGACTCGGGGATACCGACATCCTTGGCCAGCTGCACGGCACCGCTGCCACAGCGTCCGAGCTATAGCGCTGTTAATATTTATATTGCTTTCTGAGGATCTGCGCAAGACTCACAGCTCCAATAACAAGGATCTTGGGTGCCTTGCCAGCGACCTTCATGCCAGCCTCGAGGGACTCCTTAACAGACTCGACCAGACGGTCTTGGTTGGCGTAGGGAACCTCACCAGGCAAGGTCTCGTTGGGGTGTGTCAATTGCCAAGCCCAGTTCTTCACGGCCAAAGCGGATCCTGTTCCAGGTCTTAGTATTGATTGTGCCAGGCAATAAGCTTTATGTATAGATACCTGCGTAACCAGCGGACCATCCAAAAGCTAGTGAACAAACAAAGTTAGCAATTGAGTCATAAAAAGAACACTCCAGGATATGAGTCTTACCAGCAACTCGGCGTCCGGAATCATCAGTCAAGAATTCAAGGTCGAGCAAAGTGCCGTTGCCGCGAGGCCAACGGCTAAGAACCTTCTCCCAACCGCCCTGCTGCTTAAAGCAGTGTGCGAATGTGACGTGGACGTGCTCCAGGGGGAAGTCATCCTCCGGTAGCTCCTTGAGACCCAGAATGACGGCATCCTTAGGGGCATCCTGAACCCAGGATCCCTCCGCGACCAAAGGCGCACCGATCTATAATAATTGATGATATTTAGGGCGGGTTCGAGCTATAATACCGAGTGAATCATACCTTGGAGAATTCCTCATCTATAGAACGGAATCAGTCATTGAACCCAACGGCAGGGGACGGGGGTATTATGGGGAGTAGACATACCTTCAAAGATGCGCTGGGTGGACCGCTCGACAGTCACGTCATATCCAGCATCAATCAATGCCTTGCAGGTAGTTGGGGTCACTAGATGGTGTATTAGTCAATTGCTTCCCCGCCATTGTAGGGGTTGAAGCTACTCACAGGCAGACCGCGCCTCGGCGGGCTTGGTCTCAGCGCGCAGCCAAATCTTTTGTCCAGCCATTTTGAAAGTAGAGAATTAGAATATGATGAAGAGGGAAAAAGAAACCAAATATTTAATCGCTCTATCACCAATAATGACACAGACTTTCCCCTCCAGTAATAAGCGGGGATGGAAGGGTTATTCCGCTCCGAGAAATGACTCAGTCCCGATTATCGGCCTGAAACCCAGCCCACCGAAAGAGTCGTGGATTTATGGAGTCAATTTTATTCAGGAAATTGTTCTAAAGATAACCGGTACCCAGGAAGAACTATGACACTGGGATTCATTGGAGAGTAAGGAGTGGTAAGGCTATGTCAATCAGAGGATATAGCAGCGCAAATGTCTATATACTACATGCTAGTGGGGTGGATAAACATTTCCTTTTTGAAAGGTCGTACAATATCAGGAATATATTGCGTGGAACTTCTGTTCTTAAATTTGAAATCGTTCCCGCCCAAATTTTGGTCAGGGGAAGGATATTCTTCTTACCGCAGCGGGTGTACAGCCACGATGAGAAGTCATGAATAGATACGATTCAAAGTTGGAGCAAACATGATGTGGTCGAAGTAACGCGGCAAACCTGCAAATAGAGTGACTGTAATCTATTCAAGCACCCTTGGTCCGGCTGCGAGTCCGGCTACCAATGCCATCTCCTGGAATAACCTTGTTCACGGCATCCTTGATCTTATCCTTCTTGGACCGACTAGCCTTCTTCGGTACTGCATTTTCTGTGCTAGAGGGAGCAGCAGCGGTGCCATTGGACTCCGTGGCAGCCTTTTCGTCTGTCTTCAGCTTCTTGGTATCAGGCTCATCCGACAATTCAGGCTTTTGTTGCGCCTCGACCTCAGCCGGTGCCGGAGTGGGCGTCACAGTTGAATCAATGTCACGCTTTTCGCCTGCCACTGTTTCATTCATGGGCCCTACTGAAACCTGCGACTCGCGGGCAATGGGAATAGCGCCGATGGGAGATCCTGCGGGCTCTGTCACAGGTGGCTTGGTATCTGGAGCGGGCTTGGTGTCTGTAGGCTTAGGTGCCTCAAGCCCTGACCCTGTCTTTAGGTCATTGTCTATATCGGGATTTTCTGTCTCAGCAATAGCCGGGCTATCCGTTTGAGTTGTGTTTAATGTGTTCTGGAATGCATGCGAGTGCTCTTTGACTAGCTGGGCAGTGTCCTGGTCTGTTATATCCCTTAGTCAGCAGCTGGCATGCATTTTACAAGCAAACGGTTAAGCAAAGAAACACCATCCTGCAACCATATTTTGAGAAAATAATTGGGCCACTTAGACCAATTACTCCTTGAATTTTACAGTATGCATCGGCAGATAAACCACGTACCTGATGCTGCCTTTGTGTGCACGGGGACTCTTTCAGTAGCCATTGTGGATCGATGATGTCAGATGCCGGGGCAGCGCGTTGTAAATTGGTAAAGATTGAAGGGAAGGTATTCGCAGAAGCAATGCGACTGCAATTCTTCGATAGGCGAGGTTGTATGAGGAAAAAATAAGCAAAGAGGAGTCAGTTAATTTGAGGGGAGGGCGAGGTGAGGTCGCGCGGTGACGTACTTGAGAGAACTGGAGACGCTACCGGCTGATTCGCCGGTTTAGCCCTCTTGACTCTCCACGGCATTCTGTCGCACAGCCTCACCAGCTCCAGAATTACAATTGCCACGCAATGTTCTCCACAAGAGATAGCTGCGAGCACAACAGGTTTGCTAGGAGTTAGTCATTGATCACAGACCTCGGGAGGCTGCAGATCTTATCATTAGTTGGGAGATCGTGTATAGATGCTAACGTTATGCTCTTCATTGAGCCCAAGGGGCTTGTCTAGGAAAATGGCCGAGGCACTATTGACAGTAGGTTATATATGTATATATATATATATATGTTGTGTATAAAAAAAATAAGTGTGCTCGTAGATTGGTACGACGAAAAGGCAAGTTTGAGGATTGATACTATCGCATTCAGGTGCATCACACACCTCCAAATGCTGGTTCAGCCGAGTCTTCCTGGCAACTTAATTCCCTCATACAACTCGGCAAATGTAAGAGCGCCAAGAATATGAGGCTCTAACTCGGAGTGGAGTAGCGGCAGTGGCTTTCCTTTGCTCGGTGATTTGGAAAATGAAGGTTTGGCGAACATCAAGTGCGTTCAATTGTGTAATAATACACAAATGAATGCGGGGAGAAATTGTATCTTAGCAGTGTGCCAATATGAATGCAGGAATCCTCCTGTGATCGCCTCTTATAGTAAGAACATAGACAAATGTTTGTGCGTCTTGGGTGTTTTTGGCTTGAATGCTCTTTGAAGACCCTAGCTATGCGCAAGAGACTTACCAAGAGTAGAGTGGTGGCTCAATAAGTTTCAGACTAGAGGTTCATGTAAAACCCCAATTCAAACGACCCAGATGTTCCTCTTCAGACGAAGTATGTGGCTTCTCAGTAGGAGCTGCGGGCTGTTCCGGTAGCAGTTCTGAGATATGTTGCTCCAGCCGGGAGATATCACGGAACCTCTTCTGGTCAACGAGGACGCGAAGGGCCTCAGAGCCTATCTCGAAGAAAGCATCACGCCGAATTTCATTCCAAGCCTGGAATTTGCTTGGTGAAAGGTTCGCCACGAATTGGAGGAATGGGCGTGGATCAGGATTTGTTGGGTGACAGACAGCCACAGATGCTACCAGTAAGGACCGAGGAGACAGCACAGAAACCGTATCCCTGAACTGATCATACACTAATGGTGGTACCTGTTCACCAGATGGTTTGTACTCCATAGCCATACGGCTCAAGTGAGCGCCTGCAGCCAGGAGCATCGGTTTCCTTGACTTATGGGAAGATGCACTTTGGAAATGCATCTGGCACACACTCAGATACTGTGTCATTGCGGAGCCAAAACCATTTCCGAAGCAGGCTTCTGCATCTATAAAATCAACAAGGAGATGATTAAAGGTCTGCCGTGCGAGTCCTTCAGTCATCCGGCCATTCTGACTACCTAGGTCATGGCTCATGAGCATTTGCAACCACTGCATGACAGTACTGTGCAGTCCTTCCGCCACCATGAACTTGGTCAAAGATGTGGTCACTGATCGCAAACGCAGAAGCGATTGCCTCGATGTGCCATCTGATGCCCAATACCAATCAACGATCCTGGATGCTACCCGAGATGTTTTCATATCGACCGGGGACCTGGAAAGGAGAAGTTGAGACTTTAGACAATCATTGATTGTGAGTGTAGTGACTGAGCCAGTTGCAGCCATTTGATCAAAGACTGCCATGGGTTCTTCGGCTAGTCGTCGCTGGCCCTCGACGCTTTGCAATGTGGTGGGTTCTTGTAGGATTGGTCGGGTTGGAATGATACGGAAAAGAGGGTTATCGAGGATGCTCTGCAAATGCTGATCGGTTGCATGTGCTGATGATTCGGGGTTCGAGAGGGGTCGGCCATGATTGTTGCCTGATGCCGGATAAGCCCCATCTAATTGACGACGGAAGGAAGATGTGAGGGCATTTAACAGTTGCTGAGACTCTCGTGGAGTACGAGGTAAGGGTTGGTGGATTTTAGGCCAGGACTTGAACTGGAAAATAGATGTACCCTTCATGATGGTCGAAAGTTTGGAAGGTTTATATCAATGGTATGTTGGATGATGCATGAAGGTAAAGAGGGAGGATCTACGAGGGCGGTGAAACTCCTTTGTCCCCCTTCCAAAGGGTGAAAAAAGGTGAATGACGAGTAGAAAGAAACCACACTTGGAACAATTCACAAAAATTAGTTATATTTAAGTAGTGGAATAGAATTAAATGTCTATATCTGTAAATTTGATATATATAAAAAACCGAATTATTCTACATCAAAACAGATTAGAACATTGTTAAAAAGTAAAGATCTCCCTTTGTTGTAAATCCCCCCAGCATCCAATAAGCGCCACTCGCTAAAAGCCAGGCAACGCCAAGACTTGAAGGGAAGCAACTCAGATCCCGTTAGCTTTTGATCCTTTCTTCAATCTTGTCATCTCCTAACGCATTCTCCTTCTCCCCCAATTAATCTCTTTGATTTTACCTCTTCTTTTCGTCTCTTCTGGCCCCTGTGCCTGTGGTTCTGGTGCTGTTCCTCTTTTGCGAGGGTGCTCCATTTCAATAGCCTTTCCCTGCGAATCGTGACCTCCTTCCTCAATACTTCTCCATCTCACACATCTTCATCAATCAACATGTCCGACATTCAGAACCGGTCCTCCGCCTCGCGGGGTAGAGTATCCGCCCGTGGTGGCCGTGGCGGTTTCAGCTCCAGAGGTGGACGTGGTGGAAACAGATCTGCAAATGACAACTCAGACATCTCATCCTTCGAGGAGGGTGAAATTGGACAGATGAAGAAGAAGTACTCCGACACTCTCCCCACTCTTAAGGAAATGTTCCCCGACTGGAAGGACGAAGATCTGGTGTTCGCACTTGAAGACTCGAACGGCGAGCTTTTGGAGGCAATTGAGCGCATTAGTGAAGGTCGAGTCCCCGTCAACCCCAATCTTCCCGACTCGAAATCAATCGAATCTTGTGGTTCGAGGGCCGTGACTGACTGGCTTTACAGGTAATGTGTCCCAGTGGGGTGAGGTCAAGAAGAAGACCACAGACCGGACTCGCCCTAAGCCCAAGGAGGCCCCGAGTGCTTCGACCGAAACGACTGCAGCTTCCGCTCGTGGAACCCGTGGTCGCGGTGGAATAGAGGGTCGTGGACGTGTTCGCGCAGACCGGGGCCGTGGCGGTCGCGGAGGCCGTGCAGGAGCCGCTACAAATGGAACTCGCGCAGTGTCCACTGCTGTAGAGACTCCGGCGCCTACTACTCTTCCTGCTATCACATCTGAGTGGGCTGCGCCCAAGGCAGAGGAGACTGTTGCAGAGCCTTCGGCTGAAGGCGAATGGGAATCAACCGAGCCTAAGAGCAGTGTGATTCCCGAGGGCACCAAGAAGGGATGGGCGAGTCTTTTCGCCAAACCACCTGCTCCCCCGGTGCAGAAGAAGCCCCAAGCCCCTCCTCCTGTTCCCGCCGCCGAGAAGCCCGCCGAGCCCGTCGCCGAGCCATCTCCCCCCGCTCCTGAACCTGTGACTGCCCCCGCTGCCTCCCAGAAGACCCCCGTCGCCAAACCCACCCACCCCGTAATCCCTGCCATTCCGACCACCGCTGTGAACCCTCCTAAGGGCGATTTGACCGAGACGAACCTCGAACAGATTCCCGATGTATCCGCTCCCGCTCCTACCGCCACCGCCGCAAGCACCGTTGGCAGTGGTATCGACCCCGCGGCTGTGGCCGCCGCTGCCGCTACTCCCTCCCGATTCCCCTCCTCTGCCTACCCTCCCAGCGCTACCAAGCAGGGCCGTACCCCAGGTCTTCAACGCCGTGTGATGGAACAGCAGCAGGCTGTGGTTATGCCCGGCAACCACGCAGTGGACCGCGCTGCGGTTCAGTTCGGTAGCATGGGACTGAACGGTGACGCTATCGATATTGATGAGAACCGCGAGGAGGCTGAGACCCGCGCTCAGCCCCCGCAGCACTCTCCCGTTGCTCCCCGTGCCTCTCTTCCCCCCGCGACTCAGGCACCGCACTCGATCGAGACTGGTGCCGCTGGGCGTCCTGCTCCTGGCTTGCCCCCGGTCCCCCAGGGCGCTTCCGCCGACACTTTTACCGACTTCGCTCGTTACTCTGAGCCCCAGCAGAAGCCATTCGATCCCTTTACCCAGCAGGTGAGCCAGCCGCAGCCGCAGATTCCAGAGCCATTTGCCAACCAAGCCCCTGCTCAGCCCACTGCCACCACCGGCAGCGAGTACTCTCCCTTCTACGCCGCCGAGCAGCAGCGTTTCCCCTACTACGCCTCCTACGGTTCTTACGGCCAGACCCAGGATGCCCCCACTGGTCCCCGCGCCGGATTTGGTGTCTCTGGTGCTGAGGCCCAGGCTCAGATTCCCACCACGCAGCCTCCCAACCGCTACGGGCCTGTTGATGCCACTAACAGTGGACACAACACCCCCAACCCCACCGTCCCCGGTGCCACTCAGCAGACCCCCGCTGCTCAGCATATGCCTGGCCAAACTGCGCAGCAGCACGCCTACGGCTACCAATACCCTAACTACTACAACAACCCCCACTACGCTTCGTACATGAACCAGATGGGCCAGCAACAGCAGCAGCAGCAACAGCAGCAGCAGCAGTACGGTGGCGCTAACCGCCCAAGGTACGATGATGCTCGCCGTTATGAGGATCACTACATGCAGCAGCAACAGCAGCAGCACAACCAGCAATACGGCTATGGTAGCCAGTATGGTCCCTATGCCGGTAAGGGTGGCATGTACGGCCAGCCCCACGGTGCTTTCTCTTATGAACAGCAATCGTCTTCCCCCGCAAA